GCATAAGAGGTCTTCTGAATCTGATTATTGCATTTTTTAGTAAAACCAACACAAAATAGATGAAGCAAATAACCATTGGTAGTCTTGACATCAACATGAGCTTCAGTCATGGTCTGCCATTTTTTGACTATGGAGCACTTTTTGTCACTGGTAAGATCCATGCCAGGGAAATTAGGCAGTTTTTGCCCTGAACATCCTCAGTAATTAGCTTGAATTTTCTAAATGCAACTTCATCATTCTGCATATCAGCAAGGCTCACTTCAAAGACACGACCCTTGAGGCCATCAGATGCGATTTTGGTTCCTTGAGTTCTTGTGACTAATGTTTTTCCAATATTTCTTACATTGAACATAGCTGGTGCTTTCACATCATACGAATCTTTCTTAGAAAATAGATCAACCACTTTCTTCTTGGCTCCCTTTTTGCTGCCTTTCGTAAGGCGCTTGTTCTTGCCGACTGCCATGGCGCTGCTCAGGGAGCCAAAAGGGCAGGCAGATTAGATTTTAAGCTAAAGACTGTAGTAAGAGATACAGAAGGACACTATATTATTCTTAAAGGGTCTAACAAGAAGATACAAAAATTGTAAATATCTATGCCCCCAACATGGAAGTAGCCAACTACATAAGCCAACTATTAACCAAAATAAAGAAACATACTGATAATAATACGTTAATAGTAGGAGACCTCAACACTCCACTCGCAACAATAGACATATCATCTAAGCAGAAGATCAACAAAAAAACAAGAGCTTTGAATGACACACTGGACCAGATGGACCTCATAGATATATATAGAACGTTCCACCCTGAAACAACGGAATACTCATTCTTCTTGAATGCACATGGAACTTTCTCCAGAATAGACCACATACTGGGTCACAAATCAGGTCTCAACCAATACCAAAAGATTGAGATTATTCCCTGCATATTCTCAGACCACAATGCTTTGAAACTGGAACTCAATCACAGGAAAAAATTTAGAAGGAATTCAAACACTTGGAAGCTAAAGACCATCCTGCTTAAGAATGTTTGGGTCGGGGCGCTTGGGTGGCTCAATTGTTAAGTGTCTGCCTTTGGCTCAGGTCATGATCCCAGGGTCCTGGAATTGAGCCCCGCATTGGGCTCCCTCCTCAGCGGGAAGCCTGCTTCTCCCTCTCCCACTCCCCCTGCTTGTGTTCCCTCTCGCTGTGTCTCTTTCTGTCAGATAAGGAAATTAAAGAAGAACTTAAACAATTCATGGAAACCAATGAGAATGAAAACACATCAGTCCAAAACCTATGGGATACTGCAAAGGTGGTCCTAAGGGGGAAATACATAGCCATCCAAGCCTCCCTCAAAAAAAATAGAAAAACGCCAAAAACACAAGCTAACTTTACACCTTAAAGAACTGGAGAAAGAACAACAAATAAAGCCTAAGCCAAGCGGGAGAAGAGAAATAATAAAGATTAGAGCAGAGATCAATGAATTAGAAACCAGAAATACATTGTTAAAATGTTTATGCTGCCCAGAGCAATCTATACTTTCAACACCATCCCAGTCAAAATACCAATGGAATTTTTCAAAGAGCTGGAACAAACAGTTCTAAAATTTGTATGGAATCAGAAAAGATTCCAAGGAAATGTCAAAAAAAAACAAATCTGGGGGCATCATGTTGCCTGACTTCAAGCAGACACATAGATAAAACAGACACATAGATAAGTGGAACAGAATAGAGAGCCCAGATATGGACCCTCAAATCAATGGTCAAATGGTCAAATAATCTTAAAGCAGGAAAAAATATCCAATGGAAAAAAAAACCAGTCTCTTCAATAAATGGTGCTGAGAAAATTGGACAGCTAAATACAGAAGAATGAAACTCGACCATTCTCTTATACCATACACGAAGATAAACTGTAAATGAATGAAAGACCTCAATGTGAGACAGGAATCCATCAAAATCCTAGAGGAGAACATAGGCAGTGACCTCTTTGACATCAGCCACAGCAATTTCTTTCAAGACACGTCTCCAAAAGCAAGGGAAACAAAAGTGAAAATGAACTTTTGGGACTTCATCAAGATAAAAAGCTTCTGCACAGCAAAGGAAACAGTCAACAAAACAAAGAGGCAACCCACGGAATGGGAGAAGATATTTGCAAATGACACTACAGATAAAGGGCTGATATCCAAGATCTATAAAGAACTTCTCAAACTCAACACCCAAAAAACAAATAATCCAGTCAAGAAATGGGCAGAAGACATGAACTTCTCCAAGGAAGACCTATGAATGGCTAACAGACACATGAAAAAACGTTCAACATCATTAGCCATTAGGGAAAATCAAATCAAAACCACATTGAGATACCACCTTACACCAGTTAGAATGGCAAAAATTGACAAGCCAGGAAACAACAAATGTTGGAGAGGATGTGGAGAAAGGGGAACCCTCTTACACTGTTGGTAGGAATACAAGTTGGTACAGCCACTTTGGAAAACAGTATGGAGGTTCCTCAAGAAGTTGAAAATAGACCTACCCTATGACCCAGCAATTGCACTACTGGGTATTTACACCAAAGATACAGATGAAGTGAAAAGAAGGGGCACATGCACCCCAGTGTTCATAGCAGCAATGTCCACACTAGCCAAACTGTGGAAGGAGCCGAGATGCCCTTCAACAGATGAATGGATAAAGAAGATGGGGTCCATATATACAATGGAATATTACTCAGCTATCAGAAAGGATGAATACCTAACTTTTACATAAACATGGATGGGACTGGAGGAGATTATGCTAAGTGAAATAAGTCAAGCAGAGAAAGACAATTACCATGTGGTTTCACTTATATGTGGAACATAAGGAATAGCATGGAGGACATTAGGAGAAGGAAGGGGAAAATGAAGGGGTTGGAAATCAGAGGGGGAGACAAACCATGAGAGACTGTGGACTCCGGAAAACAAACTGAGGGTTTCAGAGGGGAGGGGAGTGGGCGGATCGGTTAGCCTGGTGATGGGTATTAAGGAGGGCATGTATTGTAGTGAGCACTGGGTGTTACACGCAAACTGAATCATGGAACACTACATCAAAAACTAATGAAATACTGTATGGTGACTAACATAACATAATAAAAGAAAAAAGATTCTAATAATTGTGTGAGGAAGACCTATCCAAAAAAATAGCTACACAGTTTATTCATAACCAGTACATACAGAAGTGTCAATGAAGAAGCGATCACTATTTGATGGAGAATATTGAGAACACCTCCTAAGAGACTGTGGAATTCAGGCTGAGCCTCAGAAGTGTCTTTAGTTAAATGGAGAAAAGGGCAAGACTCATGAGCAAAAGTTAGTGTATTTCTATAATGATAATATGAACCTATGTATAAAGAGTATGGAGAATAGTTTGTCTTATATTTATAGAGGTGTTTTGGAGGTATCAACTAGGAGATAAGTTTGGAGAAGTGGGAGGTGACCAAATTATGAAGAACTCTGAATGCGTGGCAGGTTACAGCTTTAATTGAAGAGATCCTTGAAGTGTAGTCTCTGTACTAGCTAAATAAGGAATTACTGAGCAGCATTTTTAGAAATGCAGTATTTCAGGCTTAATGTGAATAAGAAAATTCCTAAGTGATTCATATGTTCAGTATTGAAAAGTACTATTATAGTGTATAGTCTGAATCTGTTATTCTAAGTCAAATGTTTATGGCTAGGAACACTTTTTATTTTATTATGTTCAGTTAGCCAGCATATAGGAACACATTTTTCAACAGAAACTATGTAAGAAGTAGGATTTTGGCCTAACCTATACAGTCCTAAATGATTCATAAATTAGAAATACTCTGTGAGACCTAGTGCTGAAATTCTAGGTGAGACAGTAACTGCTGGAATGAAGAACAAACAGAAAAGCAGATTTATGTCTGGTTTAGGGAAAGAGAAAAAGGGAAATAAGCCTGTTATACTACTAAGTGCTGGGTTGTACTGGTGTAATACGAAGTCAATGACCGGGGCATCCCAATCCTATCATTTCCCAAATGCTAGATTTTGGAGAATAGCATCTGTGTTGCCAGGAGAGATCTAGGATGCTTATAGCAAATTCTCTCTTCCTTAACAGAATGGCAACCTTGATTCAGGGAAAGAACAAATTATTTCCCTAAATTACACAATTTCTGAGATACATTGTCATGTAAAAAAGCACAGTGTGGAGTAGTATGTATAGTTCGCTAAAGTGAAAAATATTTTAACATGTTATTTTGCACATGTGCAGATATATATATAGGAAAAGTTCCTGCAAGTGGAATTATTTGTACAGAAGCTATGTGCATTTGTAATGTTGCTAGATTTTGCACAGTTGTTCTCCAGAAATACTGTATCAATTTACACCGTCACCAGTGATGTGTAAGAATGTTAAATTATATATCCAACTTTCTGATCCTTGCGGTTGTGACGTTAAAAAATGGTATCGTGGTGTTGTTTTAATTTGTGAGATTGAATATCTTTCAATCTGTTTAAAAGCCATTTCTGTGAAATATCCATATTCTTTGCCAATTTTTCTATTAGGCTATTTCATTTCCTATTTATATGAATTATTTCTATATTAGGGAAGTTAGCCCTTTGTGATATGGGTAGCAAACCTTTTTGTTAATATACAAAAGCAGCAACAAATAGGTAGCTAGTAGCTATTATATTGGACAACACAGGCCTAGAAGTAGCCTACATAATTTGCTGATGACCCATATTTCCTTAGAATAGTCGTTACCAAAGGGATAGGATGGGATATATTTGTTTTTTTTTTTAAAGAGCATGTTTAATATTGTTTTATATTTGGAAAACAGAAAAAGTTTTATAACATGGGATTTTAAGAAAGTAAAGCTTGATGAAAATCCTCTTAGCTGGTGAGACAAGGTTAAAAATTATTGCAAATGTATCTAAGAATATTGTTAATTTCCAAATATCATTGACTGTTGTGAAAAACAACAAAACTGTTTTAAACTGAATGCCTCTGTATCATTACCATTTTTTTCCCACTAGGTTACCACCAAAGAACATGATTTTGGTCTAGGGGCTCCAGTTTCTGAAGCTGAAAAATACCAGAATAAACTCCAGCTAGAACAAGAAGTGAGAAATCAAGATAAATTCATCTCTGCACTGAAATTACAGGTTACATTTATTTCCCTGAAATAATTTGGGATGGGGACCTATTTTAAAACAAGAAGATGGAGAATAAATACTAATTCAGTGTTCATAGGAATTTGATGGGTCTAGAATCATTCCATTTTTATCTTTATCATTTTGATAGATGCAGATTCAGATATATATGAGTGCAAACTATGTGGAAGTGTTACATCCAGTGTTTTTAAGTACATAATCCAACTTAATTAAGTACTTAATTTCAACCTTGTGAAATAGTGATGTGATTTCCATTTTACAGACTTGGAAGCTGAAGTTCCAAGAGGTTGTAGAATTATATTTGACTAACATGTGACAGAGCTAGGTAGGATTTGTCTGAACTCCCAGGTTAGCTAGGATTTGAACCCAGTCCTCTGAACCCCAAGTTCGTTATTGTCTGTTTTCCTAGTGCCTGACCTGTGGTAAGGCTACTAATGAAGGCTATTAAAAGAAACTTCCTCTTTTAGTAAGACGGCGTAGACTTACTTTACCCTATTTGTCCCACTAAGGACAACTAAAAATGCTGAACATTTTGTTATAAAACAAACATAAGGACATTCTGAAAGGTGGGCAGAAGGAAGACTGGCTAGGGATCTCAGCATACAATAAGTGACATGTTATTGAATTCCCGGGTTTTCATTTCGCTCCATGTATCTCAGTGCTAGAAAAACTGGCATCTAGAATGGATGCAGACAAAAAAAGGACTAGGAAGGGGGCAGCCTAGCAATGTAGACCACTTTTTTTTTCTGTCCGAGGTCTTTATAATTTATATACATTTTTAACTTGGAAACAATCTCAAACTTATCTAAAAGTTGCAATTACAGAACAAAGAATATCTCCACCCCCCCCAATCCCAAACCATTTGAGAATAAGTTGCAGACCTAATGTCCTGACAACCCTAACATTTGAGTGGGTATTTCCTATAAATAAGAACATTCTCCTACAAGATCTCAGTACAGTCTGGTAAAATTAAGAAATACGTTGCTGCCAGCTAATCCTCTGACCCCATTCAAGTTTTTGCCAATTGTCCCATAATGTCCTCAATAACAAAAAGATCTAATCCAGCATCACATGTTGCATTTAGTTATTGTGTCCCTTTATCTTCTTCATTCAGGAACATTCTTGATTTTTATGACCACAACACTTTGAAGAATACGGCCCAATTATTTTGTAGAATGGCCATTGATTTGGGTTTGTTATGATTATCTTTATGTTATGAACCTTTGGCTGTGTGGAAGCCAGCCTTCAAATTGGCCCCACCTCCTTTACTCCCACTCTAATACAGTCTCCTTACACATGGTACCAGAATTGATCTTTGTGACCAAGAGCACAGAGCAAAAGTGATTAAGTTATAAGGTGATCTCTTGGATCACTTCCTCCATGGGAAGCAAGTTTCCACTTTGTGAGCAGCTCGGTGGATAGGCCCACTTGGAAAGGAACTGAAGCAGCCAGTAGCCAGTGAGAAACTGAGGCCTACCAACTATGTAGGGTAAGTTTGGAAGTGGATTCTCCAGCCCCACTTAAACCTTCCTATGGTGACTGTCACCCTGACTGACTCCTTTCACCTAGTGAGAGACCTTAAACCAGAATCACCTAATTAAGCGACTCTCAGATCCCTGATCCCAGGAAACTGTGACATAATTGTTGGCTTAAGGTACAAAATGAATACAGACAGGAATATCACAGAAGTGATGGTGGGTTCTTTTCATTGCATACTATCAAGTAGCACACAATTTCAATTTGTCCCATTAGTAATGATCTGTATTTGGATTCCTTGGTTAAAGTGTTATTTTCTGGGCTTTTCCCTGGTGAAGTTACTCTTTTTTCTCTCTTAATTATTTTTTAATTTTTAATTTTTTAAATTATAGTTGACACATAGTGTTACATTAGTTTCAGGTGTACAGCATAGTGATTGGACAACTCTATGCTCTGCTCACCACAAGTGTAGCTACCATCTGTCACCATACAGTGCTATTATAATACCATTGACTATATTCCCTCCATTGTACCTTTCATCCTCATGACTTACTCATTCTGTAATTGGAAGCCTATACCTCTCACTCTCCTTCACCCATTTTTCCCATCTTCCTCTCCTCTGGCAACCATCATTTTGTTCTCTGTATTTATGGATCTGTTTCTAATGCAGACTATTTTTGGACAATAACTGCCTACTCAAACGCCATGAAAAAACTATAGCCCCACTCCTGCTGGCAAAATCTGAGTAAGAAGCCTAGACTTCCACCCTTGTCAGGCTGTGACAAGGAGTTCCAGCCAGACCTCATGGCCCACCCTCCAGGCTCCCACATCCCACCAAGCTGGTATCAAAGAGGCATGCTGGGGAGCCAAGACTTTAGTGCCCACCAGGCAATAAGAACCCCCCACAACTGCCTAGTGTCAGCAAAGACCACATGAGGAGCCTAGATATCCACCCTCGCCCAGAGCAACAGGTGTCCCCTTTCCTTTTTGTTGAGGTGGTTTCAGAGGGGACCTCATGCAGAGTCAGGACTTTTACCACCTCCTAGCAGTAACAAGTCCACCCACCCACAGTGGTGGTGGAGGACACATGGGAACAGTAACAGGGTGCCTGTATTCTTCCTTACTGTGGTGGTATCAGCAGAGGTCTGGTGGGGACCCTGAACTCCCATTCCTGCCTAGCAGTAACAAGGAAACCAGTCCTGCCCAGGTATCAACAGAGGCCTAGTAGAGAAATTGGACTTTGACCTACACTAGCAATAAGAAGGTAGTGTCCGCCTTTATTAGCTGGAATTAAAGTCACAGGAAGTGTGACAAGAAGCCTACTAAAACACAAGAGCAGATCTCAATGAAAAAATCACTTCTTATCTCAAAAATCAGGAATACTCAACCTTAATGAGAAAAGACAACCAAGAGATGCCAATACAGAGATGAATTAGAGATTATCTCACAAGGATTTTAAATCAGTTATATAAATGCTTCAAGCAATTCTGACCATGTTTGAAACAAACACAAAGCTAGAAAATCTCATCAAAGAAATAAAAGGTATATAAAGAAGAACGAAGTGAAAATTTTGGAAGCAACCATGATGTTCTTCAATAGGTGAACAGATAAATTGTGGTATATCTGTGCAATAGAATATTATTCATTGATAAAAAGAAATGAGCTATCAACCACAAAAAGACAGGAAGAAACATTGAAAGCAAATTGCTAGGTGAGAAAAACTAACTGAAAAGGTTACATACTCTCTGATTCCAATTATTTGACCTTCTGGAAAAAACAAAAATAGAGACATTAGAAAGATCACTGATTGCCAGGGATTTGGAGGAAGGAAGGGTGGGAAGGGTGAATGGAGCACAGGTTTTTTAGGGCAGTGAAACTATTCTGTATGATACAGTAATGGTAGACACATGTCACTAAGCATTTGTCAAAACCCATAGAATGTACAACCCAAAGAGTAAACCCTGATATAAACTCTGGACTTTGGTTAATGTGTCAGTGCTCATAATTGTAGCATATACACCATACTAATACCAGATATAAATAAGATGGGAAACTGTGTTGGGTGGGGAGAAGGGGCTCTGTACTTCCTGATTAACTTTTCTGTAAGCCTAAAACGTTCTAAAAAAAATAAAGTCTAGGGGCACTTTGGTGGTTCAGTCAGTTAAGCATCTGCCTTCAGCTCAGGTCATGATCCCGGGGACCTGGGACCTGCGCATCTGGCTCCCTGCTCAGTGGGGAGTCTGCCTCTCCCTCTGCCCCTCCCCCTGCTGTGTGCATGTGCGTGCTCTCTCAAATAATTAAATAAAATCTTAAAAAAAAAATAAAGTCTATTTAAAAAATGCATGGGAGAAAATATTTCCAAATCATGTATCTGATAAAGGATTAATATCGAGAATATATAAAGTACTTTACAACTCAATCAAAAAACAAAACAACCCAATTCAAAAGTGGGCAAAGGACTTGAATAGACATTTTTCCAAAGATATACAAACGGCAAGCACATGAAAAGATGGTCAACATCATCATCCATTGAGGAAATGCAAATCAAAACCACAATGAGGTATCACTTCATACCTATTAGTATGGCTATTATCAAAACAAAATAACAAGTGCAGGTGAGGTTGTGTAGCAACTGGAGCCCTTGTGCATTGTTATGGGAATGTAAAATGGTGCAGCCATGGTGGAAAAAGTTTGGCAGTTCCTGTAAAAGTTAAATATAGAATTACCATATGATCCAGCTATTCCACTCCTAGATATATCCCCAAAAGATTAAAAAGTAGGAACTCAAATACTTGTACACTGATGTTCATAGCAGCATGATTTTCAGTGGCCAAAAGGTGGAAGCAACCTAGATGTCCATCAATAGATGCTTAACAAGATGTGGTGAGTACATACAATGGAATATTATTCAGTCTTAAAAAAAGACCGAAATTCTGATGCAAGACTGCAACATGGGTGAGACTTGAAAACATTATGCTAAGTGAAATAAGCCAGGCATAGAAGGACAAATATCTGATTCCACTTATATGTGGTACCTAGAATAGGCAAATTCATACAGAGTTATTGTTCAGTGAGTACAGACTTTGGGATAATAAAAAAATTCTGGAAATGGATGTGGGATGGTTGCACAATATTGTGGATGTACTTAATGCCACCAAATCGCACACTTAAGAATGGTTAGAATGGTAAGTTTTATGTATGTTTTACCACAATGAAAAAATTTTTAAAAAATACAGTAACTGAAATTAAAAACTCCGTGTTCTCAAACAACAGGATGGAAAGGAGAGAGGAATGAATTGGTGAATATGAGAGTAGAAAATAGAAATAACCTAATCTGAACAGAGAGAAAATGGATTGAAAAAGTGCAAAGAGAGGCTCAGGGACAGGTGGGACTCTAACAAAAGGTTTAATACTTAGATCACTGGAGTCCCAGAAAGAAAGGTAAGAGAGGATGGGACTGAAAAAATATTCAGAGCAGTAATGGCTAAATATTCTCTAAATTTGGTAAAAGACTTAAGATGGATTAAAGAAGGTGAGTGAACACCTACCAGGAATCTCTCAACGAAACCCATGCCAAGACACCTGTATTCAAACTTATGAAAACTAAAGACAAAAAAAGTAATTAACAGTTCATTGGTTATAGGTGAACACCAATCAAGTTAACAACAGATCTAAAAACATGGAGGTTGGAAGGAAGTAAACATTTTTTAAATGCTAGAAGAAAACCCAGTATTCTGTATTCAGTGAAAGTATCCTTCAGAAATGAATGGAAAATCAACACATTCTCAGATGAAGAAAACTAAGAGAATTGGTTGCCAGCATAACTATCCTACAAGAATAGTTAAAGGAATTTCTCTAACTAGGAAGGAAGTGATAAAAGAATCTTGGAAGAGGGGCGCCTGGGTGGCTCAATTGGTTAAACGACTGCCTTCGGCTCAGGTCATGATCCTGGAGTCCCGGGATCGAGCCCCACATCAGGCTCCCTGCTCAGCAGGGAGTCTGCTTCTCCCTCTGACCCTCCCCCCTCTTGTGTTCTCTCTCTCATTCTCTCTCTTTCTCAAATAAATAAAATCTTTAAAAAAAAAATCTTGGAAGAATATTAAAGACAAAGAAAAATATGGCTAAAAGCAATACAATTTCCTTTTTTTGTTTTCTAAATTATGTTTGTCAAGTGTAGTTCTCAATGGATGTAGATGAAATATTTAAGATAATTATTTTATTAGCAGATGAGGGTAAAAGGATATAAGGGGTATAAAGGGAAGTAAGTTTTCTACACTTCACTTGAACTGGTAAAATGTATGCTGTGCTAAGTTACAAATAAGTTACACTTTGAGCAACTACTAAAAAGCTATGCAAAGAGATTTCTCAAAAACACTATAGATAAGTTAAAATGGAATTAAAAAAAGTTCAAGTAACCCACAGGAGGGCAGGAAAAACAAAACAGAGAGAAAACAAAACAGAAACAACCAAAAAGAAGTCTCACTTGAATTTTTTTTTTTACTGAAGTATAGTTGACTCACACTTGAATCTTAGTATAAAAGTCTAAATATACCAATTAAAAGACAGAAACTAGTAAACTGGATTTAAAAACCTGATCTAGCTTTATGCTTTCTGTAAGAAATTCACTTCAAATATAATGATACATGTAGGTTGAAAGGCATACAAACCGGAAATGAAGAAATAAAACTGTCCCTGGTTGTAGATGTCATGATCTTCTACCTAGAAAATCTCATAAAATCTACAGTACAAAACTAGAACTAATAAGTTCATCAAGATCACAATACAAGCCATACATATTCATTTTCTTTCTGTATATTAGCAATTAACATGTGAAAATCAGAAATGCAATATCATTTACAATCACTCAAATAGAAAATGGAATCCTTAGATGTCAATCTAAAAAAGTAAGTATGAATTTATAATCTGAAAACTACAAAACGCTAATGAAAGAAATCAAAGAAGGTCTAAACAAATGGAGTGACATCATGTTCATGGATTGGAAGCCTCAACATAGTAAAGATGTCAGTTCTCTCCAAATCAGTACACATTTAATGCAACTCTCATCAAAACCCCAGCAAAAAATTTTGAAAAGAATAAAAGTGGGAAGAGTCATTCTCTTTGATTTCAAAGCTTAATATATACAGTAATTAAGACGGTTTGGTAGTACTAGAGGGATAGACACAGATCAATGATACAGAATAGAGAATCCAGAAATAGCCTTACACAAGTAAAGCCAAAAGGTTTTTGACAGAAGGAAAGATAGTCTTTTCAACAAATGGTGTTGAAACAATTGGATATCTTTCAGGGAAGAAAATCTAGACCTAAACCTCACACCTTATACAAAAAATTAATTAAAAATGGATCATAAATTTAAATGTAAAACATAAAAACTATGGAACTTTTTTAGGGTAATATAGAAAATCTTCAGGACCTTGGGCTTGGTGGAGAGTTCTTAGATGTGACACCAAAAGCAGATTCATAAAAGAAAAATTGATAATTTGGACTTCATCAAAATTTAAATCTTCTGCTTTGTGAAAAACCCTTTTAACAGGATGAAAAAACAAGCTACAAACCATATTTCTACCAGAAGAATCACATGTAGGATACATGAAGAATTCTTTTTTTTTTTTTAAAGATTTTATTTATTTATTTGGGAGAGAGAATGAGATAGAGAGCATGAGAGGGGAGAGGGTCAGAGGGAGAAGCAGACTCCCTGCTGAGCAGGGAGCCCGATGCGGGACTCGATCCCGGGACTCCAGAATCATGACCTGAGCCAAAGGCAGTCACTTAACCAACTGAGCCACCCAGGCGCCCAGATACATGAAGAATTCTTAAAAGTCAGCAGTAAAAAGGAACAATCCAATTAGAAAATAAGCAAAAGATGTGAAGAGGTATTTCATAGAAGGATATATGTTGATAAGCACATAAAAAGATGTTCATCCTTTCTAAATGTCAGGGAAATGCAAATTAAGACCAAGATGAAGTAACAATGTACACCTATAAGAACAGTTGAGATTAAAAATAGTGACAATGCCCAGTGCTGGCAAGGATGAGGAGAAACTGGATCACTCATACATTCCTGGTAGGAATGGAAATGGTACAACCACTCTGGAAAATAGTTCAGTTCTTTTTAAACTAAATATATATTTATCGTATAGCCTAGCAATTGCACTCCTGGGTATGCCAGAGAAATGAAAACTTATGTCCATTCAAATATTTGTATATGATTGTTCATAGCAGCTTTATTTGTCATAAGGACTGGAAACAACTACAATTTCCCTTAATCAATAAATGACTAAACAAACTGGTAATCCATACCATGGAATATTACTCAGCAACAAAAAAGAATGAACAATTGATCCATGTAACTTCAATAGATCTCAACGGCATTGTGCTGAGTGAAAAAGATGATGTCAAAAGATCACATACTATGATCTTTATCACATGATTTTATTTATATAACATTCCTGAAAAGACAAAATTATAGAGATTAGTGGTTGCTAAGAGTTAAGGATGGGGAAGGGAGAGGATGTGACTATAACGGGGTAACAGGAGGGCAATCCTTTGTGGTGATGGAATAGTTCTGTATCTTACCAAGATGCTGACTACAGCAGTCTATACATGGGATCACGTTGTACCAATGTCATATCTCTGAGTTTGATATTGTGCTATAATTATTTAAGATGGAACTATTGGGGAAAGTGGGTTAAGGGCCCAGGAGATCCTTTTGTACTTCCTGTGACTCTTCGGTTATTTCAAAGTAAAAAGTTTTTTTTAAAGCTACTTTTTGAGTACTTGTCATCTGCCAGAAATTTTACTTGAACTTTTATACCTGACTACAACCCTGCAAATTGTAGGTATTCTCTCCATTTAGCAGATGAAAGTCAAGAGGCCTCCATTTATTTTTTCTGAAGTCAGATGCATCTCTTAGGATCAAGAAAATATGGTAAATTGTCAGGATTAAGTAACTGGTAAAGAACTATAACAGGACTTGAACCTGTCAGCCTAATTCCAAAGCCTACATCCTTTCTACCACTTGAAACTGCCTCTTCTAAAGTACTTGTGGAATTTAGAAAAGTAGGGTTTGACGTTAGAGGTGAGGAGAGTGAGTGTTTAATTTATAATTTATTTGTTTTATTCATTTAAAAATAATTTGAGCATTTTATGCTAGATATATAGTAAATGATACAGAATTAAGAGGTGTGTTAATACTGAAGTTAGAGACAATGCCTTTAAAGTTGGTTAGAATTTAGTGGAAGGCACAGGAAGGTAAATAATATATGTTATAAAATACCAAAATTAAACTGTGTAAGAGGCTTTATGGGAGAACAGAGAGGAAAAGCATTTAACCTCTCCTGGTGCAGTGGAAAGTTAGCAAACATTTTTAGTGTGCTCTTATTGCTCAAAACTGTGGCACTGTAGAAGCCATGAACAAAGAAAAAAGACATACAGATAGATAAATTGAAGTTTATGTGTGTTTATCCCACATCCTATAGTTTTTTATTAAAAAAGATATAAGTAATAAAAATAGCTTAGGTAATAAGAATAGGGGAAAATAAACTTAATGAAAGCATGGGACAAGAATAGCTGACAGGAGATAATTGCATACAGGTTCTGTGCTAGTTGCTAGAGGTGGGTTGCAGGTAGGCTTTAAAATTCCTTGAGGCCAGGGCAAAAAAGGAAATTTTAGTTAAATAATTCACCATATAGCCTGACAATCATTTTCAATGGGTCTAATGTATTTTTTTTCCTTTGAAAGCATTTGGATATCTTTGTGATAGAAAAGGCCCTTTTCTTCATCATTTGATGGTTTGATAGTGGGCTGGGAAGGAAAGCTGTGGTCCTCCACATTAGTCAGCAAATACTTGATTGATTTGGTATTTAGCTTAGTCAAGTAAGTTATTGATATGTTTAAAAGAACTTTTTTTAAAAGAGTTAACATATTTTGTTAATAATTAGAAATTTAATTCTGAAGAACATCTAATTGATATTAATTATTAAAATTAAGTAATTTCAAGACTGGCTGTGCTCCCCTGCTAGAACCTCCAAACAAGCTCTCAAGACCGGTTTCTTTCGTGCAGGTATAAATATTTGGCTATTTTTCTAATAGTTTTGGCTAAAAATCAATAGTGATTAAGTTTATTAATTGTAAATTGTCTTGGAAGATGTAGCTATAAACCTTTACATTTTCATTTAATACATTTTTTTCAGATAGGTATTACATTCACATGGTACAAAATTCAGAAAGTGAAAAAATATATATATAGTTAGGTCTCCTTCCAGGGAAGCAAACCTCCCTTCCTGATTCCAGTCACCTGCTTGTTTTCAGAGGGAAGCAAAGGAAATATTTTAATATGTTTATTTTCTTTCTAATTATAACAGATTGAAGATCTCAAACAGACAAATCATGGCTTGGAAGAATATGTTAGGAAACTCTTGGATAGTAAGGAGGTGGTAAGCAGTCAAGTAGATGATTTAACCAGCCACAATGAGCATCTTTGTAAAGAATTGATTAAAATTGACCAACTAGCAGAGCAACTAGAAAAAGAGAAAAATTTTGTGGTGGATATCGCCGACAAAGAACTTGAAGAAGCAAAGGTATTATATTTACCACTAATAGAATTTTTTATTGAGTTATAACTCATATATAGCATTACATTAGCTCAAGGTGTACAACAATGATTCGGTATTTCTATATATTGTGAAACGATCACTGCAGTAATTCTAATTAGGATTTTATTTCTACTTTAGGATTGGGATTTTAATTGTACTCTGAACATCATGCAATTATTAAATGCAATGGAAAAGTGACATTCACATTTATATCATTTGACAGTTTTTTAGATTCGACATTAGATTTAAATGTCTATTCTAAGGATTAAATTGTATTGCACATTTTATTTCTTTTAAAACGTTGTGCTCAAAAAACTTCCTAAGTAATATGTAGCCTAAGTAATATGGTAAAAACTTCAGGCAATAGGAATGTTCTGTAGATGTCTCTCTCTCTCTCTCTCTCTACACACACACACACACACACACACACACACACACACACACACACACACACACAATGGAAGATTGCTCAACCATCAAACAGAATGAAATCTTGCCATTTGCAACAACATGGATGGAACTAGAGGGTATTATGCTAAGTGAAGTAAGTCAGAGAAAGACAAATATCATATGATTTCACTCATATGTGGAATTTAGGAAATAAAACAGATGAACATATGGGAAGGGGGAAAAAGAGAGCGGAAAGTACACCATAAGAGATTCTTAATGATAGAGAACAAACTGAGGGTTGTTGGAGGGAGGTGGGCGGGGGATGGGCTAAATGGGTGATAGGTATTAAGGAGGGCACTTGTTATGATGAACACTGTGTGTTATATGTAAGTGATGAATCACTAAATTCTACTCCTGAAACCAATATTACACTATATGTTAACAAGAATTTAAATAAAAATTTTGAAGAAAAACAGGAATGTTCTATATATAGGACATTTTTCTCCCTTCCTAATTCATCTCTCTCCTGCAGAAATATCTACCAACAAATAGATAATACATATATTTCCATCCTTTTTTTCTGTTTTCACACACAGAATTTATTTCACACTTTAAAAAGATTTTTTAATCAAAGTTTTAAATTTCTGTGTAGTAAAATTTGTCAGTCTTTACTGACTTCTGAGTTTTGATTCTTTTATTTTTTTGAGGTTCTCCCCCTTTTTAAAAATTTGAGTAGACTTTATTTTTAGGGCAGTTTTGGGTTTATAGCAAAATTAAGCAGAAGGTATAGAGATTTCCCATATACCTCCTGTCCCTATGTATGGACAATCTCCCTGTTAGCAACATGCCCCACCCAAGTGGTACCTTTGTTAAAATTGATGAACCTACATTGACTCATCGTTATCACCTAGAGCCCATAGTTTACATTAGGGTTCACACTTGGTATTATATATTCTAAGAGTTTGGACAAATAGAATGAAATGTATCCACCATTATAGTATCATGCAAAATAATTTCACTGCCCTAAAAATCCTGTTCTCCACCTAGTTTTGATTTTTTTTTTTTTTAGGAAGATCTTCTCACCTCAAGAACTACAAGAATATTTTCTACAGTTTCTTTTAATACTTTTAAATATTTTTTTAAGTTTTAATTCTTCTGGAATTTATTTTTGTTCTAGTATGAGGTATGGTTGGATAGTCCTTTCTTTAGTCACTGATTTGAAATGCCATTTTAATGAACTACTAAATTCTCATATGTGCATGGATATGTCTCTGGATTGTTTGACTTCATGAATTCATGTGCTATTTTCTGTGCCACTATCACATTATTTTAATTAGTGTAGCTTTATGATATTTTGATAAACATTTTATTTCTTGAGTTTTTAGTACTCTGCCATGAAATTTAGAAACTAGGAACATTAAAGTAAGAAACTTCACATATTATAAACTTTGACTTATAACTTAGCTATACTTGAAACTATGAGATACAAATGTTTGACATCTGAGGCCATTAAGGTTTAGGGTAATTTGTTACCTAGGAATAGAAAATAAAATAGTAAATACTCGAAACATTTTAATGTAATAAATGATAGAAGTTATATTATACCTTCACACAATTATAAAAATGAAGATAGTTTCATTTCTCATTATTGTCTAATGGCTTATAAGCAAGATACAATGTATTTCAATGCCAAAATTAACCTATTGAATTTTTTTAAAAGATTTTAATTTATCTGCCAGAGAGAGAGGGGGGAGAGAGAGAGTGAGAGTATAAGCAGGGTGAGTGGCAGGCAGAGGGAGAAGCAGGCTCTCCACTGAGCAAGGAGCCTGATATGGGACTTGATCCCAGAAACCCAGGATCATGACCTGAGCTGAAGGCAGACAGATGCTCAACCAACTGAGCCACCCAGGCATCCCTCAGCCTATTGAATTTTTAAATGATAATGTGTGAATGTGCTCCTTTGTCTTGATTTTATTAATCACCAGATTAGTAAGTTGTCTGTAATAACAGTTTCCTTAAGCTTATTGTTGTTCCATGTTATTTCTTAACCTTTAATGTACTCTTGGTAGCACATAATAAAGCATATCATATGCTACTTTGGGTGCATATCCATGCACATATGAGGTACCCAAAGTAGCATATGATAAAACCCTTAGATGATCAGGCTGAGAACATAAGTGTTATTGAAGGCATTATCTGTTAAAGTAATTTGAAATATAAGAGCCCAGTTAATAAACTGTAGGATGGTATTTGTTTATATGCAGAAATTTTGCTTATTTAAATGGTGTAAAGGATAAATAAGCCTGAATTAGTGAAAAGTCTGAGTAATGAAATACTGAAACATGTGAAGTTTCTTACTTTAATGTAAGGACACAGCTTTTTTTTTTTTAAGATTATTTATTTTAGAGAGAGCGAGAGAAGACAGCACAAGTGGGAGGGGCAGAGGGAGAGGGAGAGAGAATCCCAAGCAGACTCTGCTCAGCATGGAGCCCAATGCAGGACTTGATCTCATGACTGAGATCATGGGACCTGAGCTGAAATCGAGTCCCAACACCTGATAGCACCATCCAGGCGTCCCAGGACACAGTCTTCTTTAACAATGTTACCTGGAAGAGGCTCTGAGAGATTAGATAAGAATAACTTGTGAATTATTTTCCTTGTGATGGTTGCTACTAAAGTATTTGAAGGACATTTAAAAGTAGCTTGAATATTTTAAACATTTCTCAATAAGCTCTTCTGTTTGTACTGTTTCTTTAAGAATAGTTATCCTTCATTAAGAGTTTAATGTTAAATTAAGTTCAGTCTTAATCGTAAAAATTATCAAGATGCTTGGGTGGCTCATTTGGTTAAGTGTCTACCTTCAGCTCAGATCATGATCACAGGGTCCTGGGATCGAGTCCTGCGTCGGGCTCCTTGCTTGGAGGGGAGCCTACTTCTCCCTCTGCCTGCCACTTCCCCTGCTTGTGCCCTCTTTCTGTCTCTGACAAATAAATAAATAAAATCTTTAAAAAAAAAAACAAAAATTATCAAATTAAGGAACACTGGGTTAATGTTTTATTTTCTTTCTTGTTTTCTTCTTCAAATTAATTATATTGCTTCCCAGTCTGGGAGGCCTAGTTGGCCAAATTCCACTGAAGAGAGTGCCCAGTTTCGAAGTCATTAATTTTAAAGGATTGTTTGAATCTGTGTTAGAGAGTGAGTACTCTGTCAGGGTGAATCCTCTGCTATCAAAAAGAGAATTTAAGGAACAGGAAAGATTTAAAATAAAATAGCTAGGATTTACCTAAACCTAAAAATATTAAACCCACAGATGGAAATTCTGCCTAGCTCAGAAAAGAGGGTTTCTAAGAAATAGATGTCACATATGATGTGGAATGTTTGGTATATCTGAGAATTGGAAAGCTAGAGTAGAGATAGCATTCCTGATGCAGGAAAGACATTGGATAGTAAATAAAGAGGGGGCAAAATATGTTGTTTAAATGTACTGAAATGAAATCACCAACCTCAGTAAGTGAGTGTTACAGGTAGAATGGGGATTAGAAAGATATATGACCAGTGTTGGGGATATGAACACCAATGCATGTTGTCATCATCCTTATGTCACTGGGTGTATAGTTTAGGTATCCAATTACTGGGGAGAGATTCCTTGTCTGATTTGTGGGGTGAGCCTTGAAACAGAGAATTTCTGATTCAAGAGTTGAGAAAGAATGTTTGTATTCCTGTACTCTTTGGGGTTATGCTCTAGAGAGGTAGAGCTGAGGTTGTCTGTTTGTCTGGAATTGAGATAGATAATATTAAATTTATTTGAAAGAGTTTACTTTTAGTCATATTTTTAAAGGCCAACAGAATGACTTCTTCCATCATTTATGACATTAAAATGTTTTGAATATTTACTATTTTATTTTCTATTACTGTGTAACAGATTACTCCTAAATCTTAATGGCCTCAGATGACAAATATTTGTATCTCATAGTTTTGAGTATAGCTTAGTTAGCTGGGTAGTTTTGATTCATGGTTTTTCAGGAATGTGTAATCAAGATGATGGCCAGTCTGTAGTCATGGCTTGACTGGTACTGGAGGGTTTGCTTTTAGATAACATACTCAGATGACTGTTGGCTTTTGGCGGGAAGCTTTAGTTCCTTGACAGGTGCACCTCCCCCTAAGGTTGTTTGATAGATTTATGTCAGCTTGCTTCCCCCTGAGCCAGTCATCCAAGAGAGACAGAAAGGAGGAATCTGCAATGCCTGTTATGATTCAGTCTCAAAAGTTACAGACCATCACATCCTGTTCATTAGAAGTGAGTTACTAAGTATAAGCCACACTTAAAGGGAAGGAAATTAAGCTCCATCATTTGAAGTAAGGAATATCAAAATTTATGGACGTATTTTATTTTTTAAAGATTTTATTTATTTATTTGACAGAGGGAACACAAGCAGGGGGAGTGGGAGAGGGAGAAGCAGACTTCCCGCGGAGCAGGGAGCCCGATGTGGGGCTTGATCCCAGGAACCTGGGATCATGACCTGAGCCGAAGGCAGACGCTTAACAACTGAGCCACCCAGGCACCTCAAAATTTATGGATGTATTTAAAAACCACCAGAATTGTATGCCTCCTTTTATCTTCTCATTTTGAGTTTTTTTAAATCATTTATATCTTAATAATATAGTGTTTTCCAGCTAATTGAACATAAATTTTTGAAATAAGCAGAATTGCAATTTTACTATTATTAGTTTCTTCATACAATTTATATTTTAATTAACATAAGGCCTATTCTTGGACTGGATCTTTGGTAGCTCTTGTCATTGTTACATTGGTATGTGATTCATCAATCAAAAATATTTCAAAATTTACCATGTGAAAGATAAAGTGTAAAGGCTATTTAAGTTCTTCCTCCCCCCCCATGCTTATTCCCCCTCTTGCTCCCCTGCTTTTTTTCTGTAGTACTTTCCAACTGCTTTTCCCTACGCACACTGTATTCCAGCCACACTAACTCCTTACTATTCCAGAAGCTGACCTTCTTTTGCCTTAGGGCATTTATTTGCTTTTGCTGTATCTTCTGCCTGGAATGTTCTTCCAGATTTTTATATGGTTGACCCACCCCTTTCTCTTTCCTCCAGGTCTCCTTTCTTTCTTTTTTTTTTTTTTAAAGATTTTATTTATTTGAGAGAGAGAATGAGATAGAGCATGAGAGGGGGGAGGTTCAGGGGGAGAAGCAGACTCCCCACTGAGCGGGGAGCCCGATGCGGGACTCGATCCCGGGACTCCGGGATCATGACCTGAGCCGAAGGCAGTTGCTCAACCAACTGAGCCACCCAGGTGCCCCTCCAGGTCTCCTTTCAATGAGGACTTATTTGATAACCCTATTTAAATTCCAACCTATTCCTTCATAAACACTCCCTTAACTCTGCTCTTTTTTTCCCCTGACTATATAATTTATTTGTTAGGTTTATTTTTTTTATTGTCTGCCCAGCTGGAATGTAAGGTCTCCAGAGGCAGGGATCTTTGTTTATTTTTTCACTTTTTTATCTCAATTGCCTAGAACAGATGTGAATGAATGCTCATTATGTATTTTTTGAATAAGACTAACTCTCTGATATATATTTTACCTCTTTTTTCTCTTTTCAACTAGAATATAAGTTCCATGAGGGCAGAGGTTTTCTTTTTTTTAATTTAAATTTAATTAATTAACATATAGTGTATTGTTAGTTTCAGAGGTAGAGTTCAGTGATTCATCAGTTTTATATAACACCCAGTGCTCATTACATCATGTGCCCTCCTTAATGCCCATCATCCTGTTACCCCATCCCCCCTACCCCCCTCCCTCCAGCAACCCTCAGTTTGTTTCCTATGGTTAAGAGTCTCTTATGGTTTTTCTCCCTCTCTGATCACATCTTGTTTTATTTTCCCCTCCCTTCCTCTATGCTCCTCTGTTTTGTTTCTTAAATTCCACACATGAGTGAAATCAAAAGACAGTTGTCTTTCTCTGATTGACTTATTTGACTTAGCATAATACTCTCTAGTTCCATCCATGTAGTTGCAAATGGTAAGATTTCAATTTTTTGATGGCTGAGTAATAGTCCATTGTGTATATATACCACTCCATTCATCTATTGTTGGACATCTGGGCTCTTTCCATAATTTGGCTATTGTGGACATTGCTGCTATAAACATTGGGGTGCATGTGGAAAGCAGAGATTTTTGTCTATTTTATTCCCTGCTATCCCCAGCATATAACACAATGTCAGGTGCATAGTAGGTCCTCATTAATTGTTTGTCAGATAAATGAAAACACTGGGTTAGCATTTTTTCATTTGGGCTAGTTATAATTTTGTTTTTCAGAGTGGAATCAGCATTATGTTTTTTATGTCTGTAAAAGTAATACATGTTTATCATAAAAATTTCAGTTCATATAGAAGAGTATAATGAAGAAAATCACACCTTGCTGTAATTAGACATAGTCTTATCTTCCTCACTTTACATATTATTGGTTATGTTCCATCTGTATCTAGAATATGTGTGTATAAATTTCCTTTTTACAACAACGTATCAGACAAAATTTTTGGCAGTGTGTTTTTATACCTCATTTAATGTGGGCACCTTTATACATAATTTAATATGGATCCATTTCTTTTTGGTGTCTACATAATAGTATAAATTAAAGCATTGGAAATTGTCCAAAACTGTATAAGCTTATCCAAACTATACGTAAGTTTTGTTTCATACCATTGCCCCTTAATATTTCATAGACTACAAAAAAATATGACTGACAGAGAAATCTTAGAAAGAATTTGGGTCTAAAGAACAAATGAGGAGCAATAATTCCAGAAAAGTCAAATTTAAAATACAGCAAGAAACAGTTTAGAATAATGAGGGGGAGTTTTATGAATTGAGAAATAAATTTATTAAACTAATATGCCAATTTATAGCATAGATTATATCAAATAGATCTTTGCATGAAAACATAGTCACTGTCCTCTAGAAACATACAGTCTAGTCATATACTAACTATATGACTACAGGTAGTTATACTATAAGACTGGGTATGTTCAACATCCTAAAACTGATACAAAAAGTATTTTATGGGTTTGATTGAACTAAACTATTAAAAGAGTTCAGAGAAGAAAGCAATCACTCTGACTTTGGTGATTTGGGAAGACTTTTACTCATTCTTTTATCTCTTCCCTATTACCATCTTCAGAATTATAATTGGTATTAACATTTTGTTGCAATTTGTAGGCAGTCATTTGGTAAAATATAACCAATTACTATTTAATAACAAACTTGGGTTAATGGAAAGGGAACTGCTATATTTCATCCTATGTTCTTTTACCATCCAAAGGTAGGTGAACAGAAAGGGTAGATTATCTTTTCTTTTGTAAATTATTCACTGCATGGTTTTATTTTTAAGTGGCTTCCCTTTTTTAAATTTTTAGTATTTTTTTTTCATCATGGCAAGTGTACTCTTTAATCCATTTCACCCACCCCCCATTCTGGTAACTATCAATTTGTTCTCTATGGTTAAGAGTCTGTTTCTTGGTTTGTCTCTCTCTTTTTTTTTCCCCTTTGCTCGTTTGTTTTGTTTCTTAAATTCCACATATGAGTGAGATCATATGGTATTTGTCTTTCTCTGACTTTTTTCACTTAGCATCATACTTTCTAGTTCTATCCGTGTTGTTGCAAATGGCAAAACTTCATTCTTTTTATGGCTGAATAATATTCCATTGCGTGTGTGTGTGTGTGTGTGTGTGTGTGTATAACCACATCTTTATCCATTCATTTATTGATGGACACTTGGGCTGTTTCCATAATTTGGCTATTGTAAATAATGCTGCAATAAACATAGGGGTGCATGTATCCCTTTGAATTAGTGTTTTTGTATTTTGGGGGTAAATACCCAGTAGTGCGATTATTGGATCGTAAGGTAATTCTAATTTTTTGGGAACCTCCGTACTGTTTTCCACAGTGTCTCCATCAGTTTGCATTCCCACCAACAGTGCATAAAGGTTCCTTTTGCTCCACATTCTCGCCAACACATGTTGTTTCAAGTGGCTTCCTTTTTTGATGTTCTCTTTTTAGTTAAATCTGTTTAAATATTTTTAATCTAAATAACAGTTTTTCTGGCTTATTTTTCAGATTGAACTCATTTGCCAGCAAAATAATATAATAGTATTGGAAGATACAATAAAAAGCCTTAGATCTGTAAGTACATTTTTTATAAATGTATGTTGAGGAATCATTTTTATTCTCTTAGACTACAAAAGAATGGTATATGTGTTTTAGCTCTCGTGCATTTTGTGAACAATAAAATGTCTGTTTTCTAAAATAAGCACTCTGCTTTGGTGCACGGGGGCACTTCCCATCTGTAAGAGCATTGTTGTTCTCACTGCATTTCATCATTACGCCTTTCTTTCCTAGAGGTGGAGAGAACTTTGGTTGGTTTTATTAGTGCTCTTAGCTGTTACTTGATTTAAAATGATGACTGTGAGTAATTTAATTCTCAAAATATAAGATGCATTTGTTTACACATTAACTTTTATCCCTCTTAGTAATAAATATTAAATGTTGTAAGTTAATTCTGAGTAATGAGTTTTCTTTTTCTAACAATGTGAAATTAAAACTCCTTTTAGACTATTTAATGTTATCATTTAAAATATTTGGAACACCCTCTCTGAAAGCATATCTATAGTTTTCTCCCAATGAAGTATTGGTAAAATAAAGATTGTAAAAGAAAAAATGCTTCTAAATACACTAAGGTGATTGGGAATGTACTTGAAAGTGTATACAAGTATAAAATATCCAGCATTCATTTAATTTATTCATTTATTGAACAATTATTGAACAAAACTTAGATGCCACAAACAGAAGCTTTAATAGCATACAGGTTTCCTAAGCAAATTAATTCAATTTCTAGGACTTATAACTAGATATGTGGACATTTCTGGCCTTTCTGAAATTTCTTTACCATTTTTTCTTAAAATTATTGAGTAAATTTGGGGGTCCTTTTAGTTAAATAAAAATATAGTACATTTAGAAATGCTAGAAAAAGAAAGCATCTAACTGCTTTTTAAAGAGATTGATGAATTATTTTTAAAATACCAAATTTATTTTTAAGGATCCTGTTTATTCAATTTTCATATAGAAAATGATGCTATAGTGTAGCTTGAAATAATGACCTAATTTTTTCCTCCTTGGCAAGATAATTTTAGAGACTGAAAAAGCACAAAATAAATCTCCTTCCAGACTTGATTCCTTTGTCAAGACTTTAGAAGCAGACAGAGATTACTACAAGAGTGAAGCTCAAAATTTGAGAAAGATGATCAGAAGTAGATCTAAAAGTCCAAGACGCCCATCTCCATCTTCCCGGGTAGGTTTTGGAAACTTACAAATGTTTTGGAGTTTGCTGCTCAAACACTTTTATTCTTTGATTTACCTAATATGCAACTAATTCATTTTGATTTGGCATGAATTGGTATATCCAAGAACTGGGGAGACAGAGGTCTCTTTGATGGCACAGTGGACCGTTGAATTTAGTTCTTTATCTCTGGTATTGGTAGTAGTTGGGAGGTAATCAGATAAATGTGGACCACTTTGGGATGAACCTGTTTAAAAGAGAAGTGATTTTTAAAACTTTTTTCATCATTTCCTTTCATTGTATAGTCATGTTTGCTTGAGTAGAGATTGTGTACTGCTATTAGTAGCACTGTTTTCTTAGAACCACATGTCGAAGAATTTCAGATTTCTTACATAATAATTGTAGGGTACAAACTGTGATGTAGAGCTTTTGAAGACAACAAGAGACCGTGAAGAACTTAAATGCATGCTGGAAAAATATGAGCGTCATTTGGCAGAAATTCAGGGTAATGTCAAGGTTCTTACATCTGAGAGAGACAAGACCTTTCTTCTTTATGAACAGGTAAATTTATAAATAACATATCTAAATAACAATACTCAATTTTCAAGATATGTAATTTTTTAAGTTCTATAAGAATGCTTAAATCTGCCAATCAAATTAACCTAACATTTGGGAATTACTTTGTGCTTAAGGTATTCTTAATGAAATGTAATGTGTTTCCAACACAATAAGTGTATGTGTACACATACACACACATACACACGTTTATCCTCATATCCAAAAAGATCATGTACATGTATAGAAATAGTCTGATTTTTGGCATGAGAAATGAGGAAAGTGTTAAATGATAGGAAATAGAGAGTTCAAGGTAAACAGATTGGGATTTGGGGGTTAGAAAATGCTAATATCACTCTGATATACTGTCAATCACTTTAGGAACTGCTTATAATTTGCTTAATTTAGGAGAGTAAAATGAGTTTGTAGTTTATATCCATTTTTAGCTTAAAGTTATATATATAGCTCTTATTAATCATATAGCTTATTTACTCAACAAATATTAAACCCCATAAATCACCAACATAATTTATTTTAAAAATACCAAATTTTATTAAGAATTATAGCTACTATATGCAGAGTTCTGAGCTTGACACTCTAAGAGATAGAAAAAAATGATAAAATACCAACACTGTTTTCTATGTTCACAGTCTACTTGGGGAGATAAAGTATATTGTCTTGTACGTATTTTTTGTTACTTAAGTATAAGTGTTCCAGAAGCTGTTGTAAGAAATAAAAGAAGTGGGTATTTTTAGTTGTTGTGATCAAGGAAATCTTTGCTAGATGATATGGAATTTGAGTCCTGAAGAATGGAGTTCCTATTATCTTGAAAGGGGTAAGAAGGAACATTCCAGACCAAAGGAATGGTGTGAGGCAAAGGATAAAGGCAGGAAAATCAGTAGATAAATGGATCAAATTAAGACTAGACTAAAAGCTATATGCCATTGGAGTAAGGGGGAGCTAAGGCTTGAGAGGTAAACTGGACTAGAGCAGGGGTCTGCAAACCTCTTCTGTAAATGTCCAGAAAATCTTGGGCTCTGCAGGCCACACAATCTCATAGCTATTCAACTCTGTCGTAGTGGGGAAGTAGCTATAGACAATTTTCAAGTGAATGAGTTTGGTTGTGTTACAATATAACTTTACTTTTGGACACGGAAATTTGAATTTCATATTATTTTTACCTATGATACATATTATGAAATCTTTTTTTGTTTTTTTGATCATTTAAAAAATGTAAAAAACATTCTCAGCTTCAAGACCTACAAAAACAGGAGGCAGGCTCGATTTGGCCTGTGAGCTACATGTAGTTTGCCAACTTCTGAAGTACATGTAGAGGCTGTTTAATGGGCCATATAAGGGGTTTATACTTTGCTTTATAAGCAATGGGCAATCTGTTTTTGTTTTGTTTTAAGGCAGAAGAAATAACCAAAGCCACATTTTTACAATTTTAACCTGTTAACAATTTTACATTATCTCTTTCATAATCTTTCTATCTTTTTATATAACAGTTTCTTTTTCAAGAGAATTGGAGGATGGAGAAACTGTGGGCTTTTTGGAAGGCTGTGAGAGCAGTCCATGCATGAGGCTAGTGTGCTATCAGTGGAAATAAGGATAGGGAGAGATGCAATAGACACTGTAACAGAAGCCTTGACAAGATCTGGTTTTAGAAAAAAGGAGGGATGAATGGACCTGACTGAAGTTCTTTTTTGAATGACTGAAGAATTTTGGTAGAAAAAGAAATAGCAAAACCATTGGTGATTTGAGGGAAAAGATGTATTGTTTTCAGATAGAGTAAGATGATGGTCATACAATCAGGTGGTAATTGCATTCAGGCAGAAAATGTGAGACTGGAGTGGGGAGAGAGGTAAGAGCTGAATATGTAGGTGGAGAATTCATCTTCTTAGAGGTGAGTTTGTGGCCTTCAGAGTAGATGAGGTGTCTCAATGAGAAAGCTATAGAGGAACAGATGTAATGTTGGATATTTTTTCCAATTAGTATGGGAACCTTTAAAAGAGATAAAGATAGGAAACTAAGGTAGAACAGTATTAAGCCCAAGGAAGGAAAGAGTCTAAAACAGGATGTTGAAGACAGTGTCAAATGTTGCCAAATATCAAAAATGGGAACGGAGAAAAGACCATTTGGGGAGGTCATTATTTGAAATTCTGCCAAATGGTGGGTATAGGAGCCAGGTAGTTTACACTGGGGTGGGAGAGTAGGTGCTGAGGAACAGGCAAATGGGTTACAGAGCACTGTGCTTAAAAAAAAAATGTCAAATGCAAAAGAGATATGGGATGGTAAATTGGGCAGCAAGGTTAAATGACAGTTTTTCAAGATATGGGAGCCATGTGTTATGGTAGAAGGCAGGGGAGAAAGAGCCAGTGGAGAGGGTGCTATTCAAAGTGAGAGGAAATAATTATACAGCTGAGTCTTAAACAAGGTGGGACTAGGGGTGCCAACCCTCCTGCACAGTTGAAAATCTTTGTATAACTTTTGACTCCCAAAAATTTAATTGCAACTAGCCTACTGTTGACCAGAAGCTTTCTGATAACATAGTCAATTAACACATTTCTTATATATGTATTATATACTTATTCTTCCAATAAAGTAAGTTAGAGAAGAGAAAATGTTAGTAAGAAAATCATGAGGAGGAGAAAATACATTTATAATACTATACTGTATTTGTTGAAAAAAATCTGTATATGAGTGGACCTGTGTATAAGTTCAAACCCATGTTGTTCAAGGGTCATCTGTAATTGAGTCAGGAGTATCTTAGAAGGCATTTCCGGAGATGAGGTCCAGGATTCTGGTAAAAGCTTTGCTATGGAGATTGGGAAGTAATATATCTTCCTCTGAGTCTTGGAGACCAGCTCAATAGGTAGTGATCAAAATCAAGAAAGATTAGGGACTTTTAAGTAGCACAGTAGGATAAGAAATTATCTGTAGGTGTGGAATAGGTTTGCGACCTGAGGATGATTGAACAAGTGTGAGAGAGTATACTGGGTTGTCAGTAAGGATTGATGAGCCTTCTGTTAGGGTAAAAGTAGCCAGGACATGGAAGTGGCATATACATTTATTAGAGAAAGATGGGAACACTGTAATTAATTTATTAAAATAGTATTTTACCTGAATTTTGCTGAATTCAAATTTATATCACAAAAATTAGTAAAATATTCTCTCTTACTTTGACTGCCTCCAAATTAATTTTAAAAATTTTTGGCAAAGATATTATAAACCAGACTTCTATTTTTATGTATTCACTTGCATTTTTCGACATCATTTGCATTTATTTATATAAACTCATTAAAAAACATTATCCTATTGCATCCATTTTTATAAATGGTTTGTATTTTAACTGGCTGGATATAAGGTAGCTATATTTATGTCTTTTCTAAAGCTTGTTAAATAGAAGTCTATGTATTTAAATAATAGGCACAGGAAGAAATTGCCCGACTTCGACGAGAAATGATGAAAAACTGTAAGTCTCCTAAATCAACAACAGCACATGCCATCCTCCGGCGGGTGGAGACTGAAAGAGATGTGGCCTTCACTGATTTACGAAGAATGACCACAGAACGAGACAGCCTGAGGGAAAGGCTAAAGGTTTGGATGAATTTTATCTGTATGACCATTTGTGAAACACAATGTAGTGACATTGAAAACATTTTGTTTTGGTTTTGTTTTTTAAACAGATTGCCCAAGAGACAGCATTTAATGAGAAGGCTCACTTGGAACAAAGGATAGAAGAGCTGGAGTGTACTGTTCATAATGTAAAGAAGAATCATTTTTGTGTTTTCAGCCATAAACTGTCAATAGCTTCCCCCTTTCCCTTTTTTACTATATTCAGAGAAGTTCTTTTATTTTTCTAAGATAGTGTTAGTAATCCTAAAACATTTTAGGTGGTATGTATGGTATAAATTATCACTTTTTCATTGTTTATTTCCTTCCACAAAAAATGTAAGTGAAGTATTTTTTCTTTTAGGTTGCAAAGTGTGTTCTTTTTTTAAAAAAACCCATTAGGGATACATCTGTGGGATTTTAGCAACTTTCTCATCTGGGGGGGATTTTAGCAACTTTGTTATCTCCCTGTTTCATTGAAGATAATGTTTCCAGATACAGAGAAACTGGCTTATTCTACCGAAAGAGTAGCTAAGGTAGAAGAAATTATTATGAAATGAAAATTATGAGAAGAATATATTTAAACTGAATTTAAATGTGAAGCATCACCTTTTTGCTAATCAAGAATTTTAGATGCTATGAATATATATTTGAGATGTTATGACTATATAAACAAAATTAGGGGAATTTGACTTCTGTTAACCAAATTTAATTGAATATATTTATACATTCATCTGTGTTGTTGTAATGAGGGGAAAAAAAGTATTACTCAGGAGAGAAAAACATTTTTTTTCATAATTCCACTTTATATGTATAACTTATTAACGTTGAACAACAAATACATCCTTTTGCAAATAAGATATATATGCTGCAGTCACAATGAACCAGATTGAAAATGTAGATGCATGTACTCTGATAGGCTTTATGCCCAGGCTGTGCAGTGGCTTGTTCTTGTTCCTACTCCACAATACCTTGTCCATACGGCCTCCCACAACATTCAAGTCTAATATGATCATCTCCTGGTATAAATCTTGTCATATGCCACAGTTTGCACAAAGAGAGGATGTCTCTTTAAGAAGATTTTGTTAGTGGTGGCAGTAACCTTATCATTCTACTTGTATAGCTTGATGATGAACGGATGGAGCAAATGTCAAATATGACTTTGATGAAGGAAACCATAACCACTGTGGAAAAAGAAATGAAATCACTAGCAAGAAAGGCAATGGATACTGAAAGTGAACTTGGCCGACAAAAGGCAGAGAATAATTCTTTGAGGTAAATTACCTTTAAACAACTAGTTTACTATAACTACTAGATTCTACTTTTTGTAGAGTGTTTTATAATGATAATTAAGTTGTTGACTTTAATTTCTGAGAGGATTATTATGAAGCAGTTGTAGAAACCTCAGCACACATTAAATGATTTCCCGAAGATCACTTATAGACTAGTAATGCCATACTTAACGAGGAGTCAGACTTCTAGTAATCGTCATCTTACATTTGCAGAAAGCCCAATGTTTAACTGAAGTAGCTTTTACAAAGTCCTTCTGGGCACAGAGCATATTTGACTTTGGTGTTTGAACATGTAGGAAAATGTAAGGGAACTTCTGTTAATTGAATACCAAGTAGGTTCTTAGCTCTTCCTACATACTGGTATGGTAGCAGAAGAAATTCCAATTAAAGCAACCTACAGGCAATAAATGTAAGGGAATAAGTTCTTGAAGACCTCCATGTTAGCAATTTTACTTTTAGTGTCTGTTGATATGAGAGAATTCTACAGATTCAGTAATGTTGAATTGCTGTGCATCTGTGAACATTTGAAAAATAGTATTTCATATGAGTGTGAAATATTAAGTCTACAGATAATACTTGGTTCACATAAGAGTTCCCAGAGTTCCCTCTCCGATCTTTCAAGGGTCTGTGGTACATATATTGAAATCACTTGTCAGGACAGATAATGACTCAAATTTTTCCCTTCATTTATTTCTAAATTTCCTCTTTAAAAGGATAGTACAGACAAAGAAACCTTGGAGAAGAGAGAAAAGAAAAATTAAAAGAAATTTCTTTTAAATTTAAAAGAAAATTTAAATCATCCATGATTCCATAACTAAGTGAAAACTATTATTAATATAGATCTCTTTCTAACCAGGAATATTTCCATCCGTGTTATGTAGGCTTTCTGTGTAATTGATGTCATTCTATATTAGGTTATATATTTGGCCAGTTTCACTTAATTGTAAATCATAAGCATTGCCCGTGTCGTCAGAAGTTCCTGGAAAGCATTTTAGTAGCTTACTAAAATATTCTATCAGATAGATGTGTATTTGGAGGAGAATTTTTGCATACATTTGTTTTCTCTTAATAGTATTAGTAGAACCTAGTTGGCATACATACATACAGTAAACTGCACATATTTAAAGTGTTCAGTTTGGTAAGTATGCACAATCAAGATAGTGGCCTTACCCATCACTCCCAAAAATTTCCTCATGCCCCTCTGTAACTTCTCACCTACCCTGCCAATCCCTAGACAACCACTGATTTGCTTTCTGTCCTAGAGATTTGTTTTGGTTTTCTAAAATGTTATATAAATGAAATCATATAGTATATATTCTTTTAGTGGGATGCTTTCCCTCAGCATAATTATTTTGAAATTTATCCTTGTTGTATAATCAGTAGTTTATTCCTTTCTATTCCTGAGTACTATTCCATTGTGTGAACATATGGACATTTTGGTTGTTTCCAGTTTGGGCCTATAACAAATAAAACACTCGTGTACATTCTTATATGAGTCTTTGTATGGACATAAGCTTTTATTTTTCTTGGATGAATACCTAAGAGTAGAGTGACTGAGTCATGTGATATGTTTAATTTTGAAGAAACTATTAAACTGTTTTCCAAAGTGGTTGTACTATTTTATTTTACATTTGCACCAGTAGTGTATGAGTGTTCCAGGTGTTATGTAGCCTCATCAACACTTGGTATGCATTATCTTTTTAATCTTAACCATTCTAATAGGTATGTATTACGGTTTTAATTTGCCCTCCCTAATGACTAATGGTTTTGAGCATCTGAGCATGTGCTTATGTACCATACATTTATCCTCTTTAGTGTCTGTTCAAATCTTTTGTACACTTTTATTGAATTATTTATATTATTATCAAGTTGTAAAATTGATTTTAAATTTCTAAATTCTAAGTCCTACTTCAGGTATATTTTGCAAATATTTTCTCCCACTCTGTGGCTTACCTTTATATTAACTATTTTTTATTTATTTTTCTTAAAGATTTTATTTATTTATTTGACAGAGAGAGACACAGTGAGAGAGGGAACACAAGCAGGGGGAGTGGGAGAGGGAGAAGCAGGCTTCTCGCCAAGCAGGGAGCCCTATGTGGGGCTCGATCCCAGGACCCTGGGACCATGACCTGAGCCGAAGGCAGATGCTTAATGACTGAGCCTCCCAGGTGCCCCTAACTATCTTTTTTTTCGAAATATAAGGTTTTTTGTTTTAAAGATTTTATTTATTTGACAGAGAGAGACACAGAGAGAGAGGGAACACAAGCAGGGGCAGTGGGAGAGGGAGAAGCAGGCTTCCCGCCGAGCAGGGAGCCCGATGTGGGGCTCGATCCCAGGACCCTGGGATCATGACCTGAGCCGAAGGCAAATGCTTAATGACTGAGCCACCCAGGCGCCCTTTAATTTCTATCTTTTAAAGAGCAGATTTTTTTCATTTTGATTAAGTGAAATTTATTGATTTTTAAAAAATTATAGCCAACCTTTTGTATTCTTTTAAAGAAATCATTGTCAAGTGTTGTAAGGTCACTGAGATTTTTGTTTTGTGTTTTCTTCTAGCAATTTTATAGCTCTTAATATTTAAATCTGCTATTCATGTCAAAGTTTTCGTATATGGTCAAGGTATAGATCAAAGTTCACCTTTTTTTGCATAAGGATATCCAGTTGTTCCAGTATTTGTTGAAAAACTATGCTTTCTTGTTTTTGTGCTTTGTAGAAGATCATTTGTCCATATATGTATAGGTCTTTTCTTGGTTATCTATTTTATTTGATGGATCTATTTATATATTTCAATCCCAGTATAACGCGCCTGATTACTTTTTTTTTTTTAAGTCTTCAAATTAGGTAATGTTAGTCCTCCAGCTTTGTTCTTTCTCAAAATAGTTTTGGCTATTCTAATTCCTTTGTATTTTATTTTAATTTTAAAATCATTTTCACAGTGTATAAAAAAAAAAACCCGCTTGGGAATTTGATTGGAATTGGGGAAAATGACATCTGAATTTCAAGTGTTCCCACTCATAAACAGTATTTCTCTCCATTGTTTAGATCTTTAATTTCCCTCAGCAATGTTTTGTAGTGTATAGGTCCTTTACTACTTTTATCAGATTTATATGAGTATTTCCTATTTTTTTTGATGCTGTTGTAAATGGAATTTTAAAATTTCACTTTCTGATTGTTTATTGTTTGTATATGAAAATACAGTTGTTTTTAAAAATAAACTTTGTGTTTTTCAACAATTTTAGATTAATAGAGCAATTGTGAAGTAGAGTTCCTATATACTTCATACCCAATTTACTGTCTTATTGACATCTTACATTAGTACATTTGTTAGAATTAATGAATCAATTATTTGATACATTATTAACTGAAGTCCATACTTTATTCAGATTTCCTTAGTTTTCCCCTAATGTCCTTTTCTGTTCCAGGATCCCCTCTAGAACACTAACATTACATTTAGTTGTCATGTTTCCTTAGGCTTCTATTGGCTATGACAGTTTCAGACTTTCCTTGTTTTTGATGACCTTGACAGTTTTGAGGAGTACTGATTAGGTATTTTGTAGAATGTCTCTCAGTTGGGGTTTGTCTGCTGTTTTTGTCATGATTAAACTGGGTAATTTGTTTTTGAGAGAAAGGTCACAGATGTAAAATTCCATTTTAGGGTACATATATATCTAGGGTATAATGGGTATGTACTGTCCATAGGATTTATTACTGTTGATTTTGACCTTTATCACCTGGTTGAGGAAATGTTTGCCTTTTCCAGAATGTCATATAATGGAAATCATGTAGTATACAACCTTTTCAGACCAGCTTCTTTCACTTAGCAATGTGCGTTTTAGGTTCATTCATGTTTTTTTCATACCCAGATAGTTTATTTATCATAGAATAATAATCTATCATATGTATATTCTACAGTGTGTTTATCCCTGCACCTATTGAAGGACATCTTGGTTGCTTCCAGTTTTTGGTAATTATGAATAAAGCTGCTCTAAACTTTCATGTGCACATTTTAGTGTGGACATAGGTTTTCAGATCCGTTCAGTAAATACCTAGGAGCACAATTGCTGAATCATAGATTAAAACTATATTCAGCTTTATAAGAAACTGCCTAACTCTTTCAAAGTGACTGTACCATTTTGCATTCCCACTGGCAATGAATCAGTTTCTGTTGCTCCATATCCTTGTTAGTATTTGGTATTGTCGCATTTTTGTATTTTAGCCATTATAATAGGTGTGTAGCAATATTTCATTGTTTTAATTTGCAGTTTGCTAATGACAAATGATGTGGAGCATCTTTTCATTGTTACTTGCCATCTTTATATTTTCTTTGGTGAGGTATCTGTTTAGATATTTTGCCCATTTTTCAATTTTTTGTTTACTTTTGTTGAGTTTTAAGAATTGACCTGTACTGGGGTTCCTGGGTGGCTCAGTCGTTAAGCATCTGCCTTCAGCTCAGGTCATGATCCCAGGGTCCTGGGATCGAGCCCCGCATCGGGCTCCCTGCTCGGCGGGAAGCCTGCTTCTCCCTCTCCCACTGCCCCTGCTTGTGTTCCCTCTCTTGCTATGTCTCTGTCAAATAAATAAATAAAATCTAAAAAAAAAAAAGAATTGACCTGTACCTCTGAAACAAATAATACATTATATGTTTAAAGAAAAAAAAAAGAAGATAGTAGGAAGGGAAAAAATGAAGGGGGAGAAATCAGAGGGGGAGACGAACCATGAGAGACTATGGACTCAGAAACAAATGGAGGGGGGCGCCTGGGTGCCTCAGTCGTTAAGCGTCTGCCTTCAGCTCAGGTCATGATCTCAGGGTCCTGGGATCGAGCCCCACATCAGGTTCCCTGCTCGGCGAGAGGCCTGCTTCTCCCTTTCCCGCTCCCCCTGCTTGTGTTCCCTCTCTCGCTGTGTCTCTCTTTGTCAAATAAATAAATAAAATCTTAAAAAAAAAAAGAAACGGAGGGTTCTAGAGGGGAGGGGGGTGGGGGA